AGTTTATATCAGTTGCCATCAATTACCTATGTTTACAGATAAATTTCAAAAACATACCATTTATTCGGCAAACAGGCAATTATTAACATTGATAACTAGACATTATCTTATGTCTCTATTAACACGATCACCACTTCTACTTGGTTCATTCGATTTACTAGGTAAAATTTCTTTGTTAACAAAGCGCTTCTTTTGATTTGCAATTTCCATTGTTTCAGGTAATCCATCTGTGTTTATTCGTAATATAACGGATGGTGTCTATGACCTCTTTCACTTACCCTATGTCGGGATGAGACAAGGCCCAAGTGGATTCATGGCTGGTATATCTCAAGGTGCTACAAGTCTATTGAAACATTTTTCACTTGGTAATTGATAAAAACAATGGCAAACTACTTTCTGATGAAGACGTCTTTTGTCCTTGTTTAGGTACATTGACATCGGTAACAACATTCGCGAATAGTGTGGCACGAAATATGGATCGATTAGCGATGGATTCCGAGCATACAACGCGCAATGAAGAAACTTGTCGACAAATTCCAACGGGAATGACCAGTGGTCTTCTACAAGGTCTTGAATTATTTAGTTTGAGTTTATTAGGTGCTATTGCCGGTCTAGCCGAACAACCTTTAGCGTCGTTTCGTAATCGAGATGATTCTCAAGCTGCTACAACAACTGTTCTATCCGGTGTTGGTAAAGGTCTTGTGGGAATCGTTGCTAAACCAGTTGGTGGTGTTGCTCAACTAATATCACAAACAGGTCAAGGTATTCTCTACGGAACTGGTTTGATGAATATTCCACATCGACGACATAGACAACTAGAGCAAGATGCTCGTATAAACACAACAATTAGTTATCTTAAACTATCTCATTCATGTCAAATAGCGCAAAATCAAGATGATATACTTGACATCTTAGATTATGTTCTCGAACATCACAATATTGAACATGGAATCTTGATATTAACCAAGAATCGACATTTAATTGTGTATCATAAAGACGATGAACATCAACATGGAGATTACCTATTGAATGATATTGAATTAAATGAATCGCCTGATTCGTCGGGATTGCTAGTGTTTAATGACCTTTCATTCTATGTTGATTCACGTCTACGTCATCAATTTCTTGCTCTATACCGTCTTATTCGTCAATAATATCGTTTATTTTCTTCAGTCTCGAATCTAACATTTTCAAGTATTGAACTGTGATTTGTTTTTCTCTCTTTCTTTGTTTCGTTAAAACCTACCGTTTTCTTTTCTCTTTTGTTAGTCAATTCTTTCTTATTATTTATTATTTCTGTTGAGGTTTTTTCTTTCTTTCTACTTTTAATCGGCTCATAAAATATACATATATCTATGCAAAAAAAAAACATTTCGATCAATGTCGCCAATATGACGCAACCAAGGATGAAACATCTGGTACACAATGACATGTTTCAATTTCGAAGGCGTCTAAATGACGTCGAATGTTTTGCGGAGTGAAGACTATTGATTTTAGCAAAATACAACATCGTAATTCGAATGCAGACGTGTGACTGTGTTCCTATGAACTGAAATAGATAAGACATGTACTTTTTTTTTTTGAGAATCGTTAAGAAACATGTATAGGTAAACGACTGATAAAAAAATTTTCAAGAATAAAGAATTCGTCATAGGTTTACGAGATAATTGAGTTACGATACTTTGAAATAAATGCCATTCGTATAGTATTATTTTTGAATTTAACGAGAAAATCATTGAGATATCTGATGTGAGAGTATGTTTTGCTTACTCGAAAGTCTCTTCATTTGTTACATTGAATCGAGGTTAAGTAGTGAAAATTCAAACTAAACTTATCTTTCTTATCAATTGCAAGCGCATGACTATGCCAGAAATTCTTTTCTATTTATCTTTTGATATCTTGTCATTCACCTTTGTCCCGTGATTTCATACTCAAATAAATGAAATATTTTACTTTAAAATAATTTTATTCAAATGTATTTCTTTTTTTTTTTGGTTATCCGTTATATGTCTGACATTAAAAAAGAGAATCGTGTACAAGTCGTACAAACCATCATATACTTGTGTTTATACACTATTCAACGAAAGAGAGAACGAGAAAAGACGTATTTTTTTTGGTTTGTTACAAATAACAAACGTGAAAGGTTGAGAGTCACTTCTAAAAAAGAATGTTCACCAAATATTGAAAGAGATCCAGTATGGATTGAGTACTAACCACTAAGTATGATCCATATACAGAAATAGATGAGCAAATGAAAGACTAGAGAATGAATAAATAGAGGACGACAACGAAAAAAAGGAGAATTAGTTTTCTGTGAGTAAATGTTTGACGCGCATTTGAAATAGGACGTATTGACGATGGTAGTTTCGAGCTAATTGTAATGCATGTCGAGCATCATGCTGTCGGACAAGACGAGTAAAATACGAACCAATGTGATCGTCATCATCATCAGTATTCAATCGTGACATTTGCATAATTGACGAACGATTTTGTTCGAGTAATGCAACGCAAAGGAAGATAGTGAACATATCGGAATATTGTTCATCGGTATCGATCGAGGAAAAGTGTGTCAACCATTTTCCTAAGGATATATTCGATATTGAATTGGAATTCGTCGATGCACTTAGATAACATGAACTATCGAGCCTATTCGAACGGAGATTTAGATCGAATGTACCGGGGAGTTGCTCATCACGATAACCCGAATCTCCTCCATCGAGACTCGAATGTTGAGATCGTGTATCTTCTAATGTCGGAGAAGCCGAACGTGATGATAAAATTGTGTTCGATATCGATGACATGAATGATGAACGATGTGGATTACATAATGATGATGGACAAAGATCATCTTGATCCGAAAATGTATTATCATGATTGAATTCGAACGTATCGATTGGTAATGATGCCCAAAGGGTTTCAAAAACACGAAAGATATCTTTGAATGGAAATTCGCGTTTACAATCCAGTAATAACCATCGGAAAGTAAACATCAGATTACCTAGAAAAGTCGAAAATTCATAAAGGATTCGAATAAATGATGAGACTCACCAATATCGCACTGTTCAATCTTCATCCACAGGTCCATATCAATCGCCTGTATAGTCTTTCGTAATAAATTCAGCCGGCGGTTCATGGCATTACCGTTGGAATGAAACAATGGGCTCATATAACGCATAAGTGAACAAAAGCATGCGTATGTTAATGCTTCGTCACGTATCACATAGAGAAGTGGTGAGACCATATCATTCATTCCTAAGAAACAAAACCAAATTCATTCTGGAATTGCACTAGAGCGATCAAAGAGTTTACCTTGAATGTAACCGGGCTCGGGATGATAAACACTGTACGTCATCAGTATATTGAATAACTTTTGACATGATAAATTTTCCTTATCATCAAAGAATTTCACAGAACGATCCGTACGTCGCACATCTTTTTGAATTAGGTTATCTAATGTTGTAATTTCAACATCACCCTGCTTACATCGATTCTGCCAGGCTAGTTTCATTCTAGAATACGCATGAGTATAGGTTTTCGTTTATTTAATCACTAATCTTACTCATTATATCGTTCTTTCGCTCGATGAGTATATTCACTTTTATCTTCATTAGTCATTGATTCATTGAAGACGCGTAATAGATAACACCAGACTATCTTTCGTATGGACTCGTCACAGCCATGATCAAATATTCGTTGTCGAAATAGTTGCTCATCAAGTAGACGGCCAGTGGATGGATCTAACATTTGTTGAAATTCTTTTTTCGTCACACAGTTGTTCGACGAAGAATTTACTGAACCATGTAACCAGCCTAGAAAAGAAGTTTCGATCGAGAAACAAGAAAAGCATGATCGATGACCTACCTGTTGCTTTTTGTAGAAATGTTTCTTGTCGTTGATCTTTCGGTTTCACTGTTACTATTATACAATCGTTTTGGATGGGAATAATTTCGAAATTATCATCTTTGCGCTCAACAATATTGGAACTTTCGTCAAGGACACACCAATCGTCTGAATCATATTGAAGTTGATCTTTCGTTCGAGGATATTTGTAAACAATAAATTCTAAGGTTGAGTGTTGCTTATTTTCGTCATCGATTTCTTCAGTCATGTTCATTATACAGCCGTCGACGTCAAAATCGTCAGTGACAGGAAAATTGCACCGGAACGAAGAAGATTCTTTGGCAATTAATGTGAAATTGGAACGTAAGTTAAACGTTCGATTGATTAAACGAACAAGAACTGAATAGGATAGTAGTTGAGTATCGACAGAGAATTTCTTTTTCGATTGACATAAGTTACACTCGTTTAACTAAAACAGAATCGATTGGATTTTCAAATGATTCCTTCTCGATTAACTCACCGAAATAGTAAAAACAACAACATTTGGTAAACGATAATCTGATTGAAGTTGACGATAGTGAAGTTTCGAAGTAAATGTAGACGCAACCTTAAAGAAAAGAAAACGACGCCATTGTGAAATGTGATATATATATGTACGTGTGCACTAGTGATTCACCATCGATACTGACGAAATCGCAAATCATTTCGAAATTATATCATACATCTCCGATAAAGAATCTCTCTATCTTCACATAACCTCTTTAAATAGTACTTCAAATATCGGTATCACAATCTTGTTTGACTTCTTTTAATCTATATGTGCTTTAACTTTCATGAACAGAGAAAAGTTCAATCGAACAACATAAACATTGTTCGCCTATTTGTCAATGACGTGATGTTCGAACAAGCCCTTCTCTTCTCTCAGCTGTATGACACACCCTATATCATCTTCTTGTTTATTATAAAGAAGGAAATGAGAAAAAGTAAACATAAATTACCTCATCACTGTTATTACATTCAGAGTAATCATCAGTCAAAAGTGATATTGAAGATGTCGGTGAATGTGATGTATGCATTTTGTTATTGTTTGTTGGAGGCATAAGTGGTTACGAATATATATATATGTGCGCGTGTGTGTTTATGTGGAGAGAAAGGTAGATATGTGTTTATTACTTGAAACGAGAACACATCGGGTATGAAATATTTAAGTCCAAAAAAATAACGTTTTTTCTCTTCTCGACTCAGAAAACAAACAGTATGACGGAATGATGGTCTATGCACCGTCGTTGTGACACCAGATGTGACCCACCTATAATACGAATAGAAGTAATGCTGCTGCTCTTGTTTCGTTCTGTGTATTTCTCTCGTTTTTTTCACTAGTTTGTTCGTCGTCGGTCTTCACCTCTGACATTCTTCGTTCTCTCTCCTTCTCGCAGATATTTTTTCGCCTATTGTGTGTTCTTCTATATATCCATCCAATAGATGAGGGTCAATTCGACAAGAGTATAAAAACTTGCAGTTGATAAACTTCTTATCGATATCGAGGCATCAAGGCCAATCTCTGTTTCTATAGTAATTCATTTTGTTATTTATTTTGTTCGATCTATGCATGAAATAATCACGATTCAAATTGGACAAGCAGGCAATTCAATAGGAGAGAAAGTGAGTTGAATAGAGCAATTTCTTCTCTAAACTCAAAGACCAGTTTTGGGAATATGTTTGTAACGAACATGGAATTGATTCAATGGGAATGTATCATGGCGATAGTGATTTACAAGTTGAACGAATAAATGTCTATTTTACTGAAGCTACACAGGGAAAATATGTGCCGCGATCGGTTTTTACAGATTTAGATGAATATTCTGTGAATAAGATTCGAAATTCCATGTATGGACAGTTGTTTCGACCAGATTTGGTAGTGAATGGCAAAATGAGTGCCAGTAATAACTTTGCTAAAGGATTTTTCACTGAAGGTGGAATAGAGAGAAATAAAGTGGTGAACAAAACTAGGTATGAATTGTTTCAGGAGCTGAAATTCTACCAGAATTACTTGAAAAAATTCGTCATCTAGCTGAAGAATGTGACTTGATTCACGGTTTTCAATTTCTTCATAGTATAAGTGGTGGATGTGGTGGAGGATTAGGTTCGTTATTACTCGATCATGTTCGACAGGAATATCCTGATCGAACGATTAAATCTTATTCAATTTTCCCTGCATTGTCCGTGTCTCAAGTTGTCGTACGTTGAAAACACACATGATAGATCAAATCGTTCGTCTATTGTTTCTCTCAGGTTGAGCCATACAATGCCGTACTAACGATGAATCGTAAGATACGAGCAGAGCGAATTAGAATGATGAAATTTAACTTAGATTTGATTGAAAACACCGATGAAACGTTTTGTTTCGACAATGTCGCTCTCTTCGAAATTCTTCGTAGAACTCTCCGATTCCCATCAGCAAATTATACAGATATCAATCAAATTCTAGCTCAAGTTATGATCGGTGTTACTGCTTGCTTTCGATTTCCCGGTAGAAATATAGAACGTTCTCAAACGAAATCAAACAATAACACTTCTTTTAGGACAACTAAACATGGATTTACGTAAATTAGCTGTGAATATGATTCCGTTTCCTGCACTTCATTTTCTAATGACATCGTTGTCACCAATCCAAACGAATTCCTATCAAAATCTAACTGAGCAATCTCTTGTAAAACAGATGTTCGATAAAAATCATCGAATATCAACCATTCAGCCGCATGATGGCAAATATTTAACAGCAACAGGCGTCTTTCGAGGACAATCGTTATCAATGAGACTCCTTCATGACCTACTCGCGACAGAAAAGGCGAATCACCGTTTTATACAATGGATTCCGAATAATGTTCGTAAACATCAAGTCAACGACAAATGTTTCATTCATTTCTTTTGATATACTTAGTGTAAAATCGCTCATTGTGATATTCCGCCAAAAGGTCTACCATGTTCCGTGACTGGAATAGCGAATCATACAGGAATAGTGCAACAATTTGATTATTTGTTGCAACCGTTCAAGAAACTATTTCAACGTCGAGCATTTATTCATTGGTTCATTGACGAAGGAATGGAGGAGATCGGTTTGTTTGCTTTATCCTTCGTATTTTCTTTTATAAAGTTATTTGATGTTTGTTTTATAAAGAAATAAGCGAAGCCGATAATCGAATCGAAAATTTGACTAAACAATACAAATCAATCGACAATCAATAAGTAGTTTCAGTAATGAACCATTCAAGAAAAAAATTTATGTTTACAATGAACACTTGTGAAAGCTTTCTCGAAGCCTCTGTGGCGAAGCGGATTAACGCGTTGGACTTCTAATCCAAAGATCGTGGGTTCGATCCCCACCAGAGGTGGTAGTCGATATTTTTTTTCTTCTCTTTCATACTTGCGAGAACAGAACAGAACAAAATAACACATATGCATTCGTCGGTATAGTTTACGTTAGAAAAAATATATATTTGTTAACATTGAATTACAAGAAAAAGAAGGAAGTTTATTAGGCAATGAGCGAAGGAGCAAGACGTTTTTGTGTTTTATTGTATGATTTTTCTAATTGATCAAAACGATTCCATTCTGGATTTGCTCGCTAAAAGAGGAAACAAGAAGAGAAAGTGTTGAAATACAAAAGAAAGAGGAAACGTACGAAAGTTGCAGCACGACCGGTCGATGGTACCGATCTCACATTGAGTGAAGCGAGAGTATCACGCGTCTGTTGTTGTTTGGATAGACGTTGGTATTTTTTATTTTCAATATCTTGTTTCAGTCGTTCTAACTCAGGATTTTGCTCGACCCGAGACGGTGCACTCACTTGTCGTTGTTTTCTAATGAATGAAAAGAAAAGCACCGAGTGATTTCATTGCAAAGCTCGCAATTTCGTTGAATAATTACTTCTTTGCAGTTTGAGCACTCAATTCATTTCGATATTTCACTATATTTTGAACGGATGTAGTGATCATTTGCTCTTTTACTTGTTTATCTTTAACAATTTGATCGCGTCGGCTTTCACGTTCTTTCTCTCGTTCGAGTTTGACTAACTCCAGACGTTCTCGGAGTTCGGCTATAGACATTTCATCATGTACGCCGTGTCCAGCAACTGTTGTTAAATCAACCGGTTTCCATCGATCAATGGGCACCGATTCGAGTGCACGAATTTGTTGAATTAATTCAGCACGTTGTCGCATTTCCGCTTCGGCCTAGGAAAGAGAAGAAAAGAATGGAATCGATGGAAGTTGCTGCGATTATTTTCTTCACTTCTTCGAGTGCTTGTTTCATCATCTGTTTCGTATCTTCTTTATATTGCTTAACGAAATCTGCTTTGTACTGTTGAAGTTTCTGTTGAGCAAGTTTAGCATTTTCTCGTCCGGCAACAACATCATCAATCAGTTGTCTACGAAGGTTGGAAATCATTCCAATTATTAGCAATTCTGTTTCGACTTACTTCATTCTTTGTTCTTCTTTCACTTTTTCTTTGACATGTTCTTCGACAATTTCTCGTGTTTCACGTTTCAATTCTTCGGCTAAACGTCGGTTCTCCTCAGCTAGTCGTTGCCGTGCTAAAATCGCTTCTTCATAACTCATTTTCCCCTCTAATCTTTTTCGTTCAATAGCATTCATTTGTTCGTCATAATCTTGTTTTTGCATTGCTTGTTGCCATTGAAGAAATTCCGTTGCATCTTTGCCTCCCGCTTCGAAATCAAGTAAACGTCGGCGAACATCGTCTTCTTGTTTTTTATACAATTGACTTTCTTTTAAAACGGTGGCAACATTCAGTTTAACGGGGATTTTGTTGGTCTGAAATGAACAGAACAAATAAATCGAATGAGAGAAGAACACTGTACTTGAGATTTAGGTGGTGAATTCGCGCGAAAATGTTCAAATTGAAGTTCGTTATCTCGTTCTTCCGTTATTTTGTTTAACTTTGATTGACTTTTAGCTGATTTCTCTGTTTGCATGAAATTGGCACTCAATGCGCGTGTTTGATCAAGTTTTTGTAAGCTTCGTCGGTAGTTTTCCTCTCGAATCTTCTCCAATTCTAATGCTTCGCGAGATGGCCCATACGTCGTTTTCGGTACGGGGCGAGATTTTTCCATTTGTGGTACCTACAGAAACAGACTTAGAAAAATCAAAGCAACAACGAGAAAACATACTATTTTCGGTACGGGCACAGTTCGAGGCTTTGGTGCAGTTAAATTGAACGGTTTCGTTTTCGTTGGATCAGGCACTTGACGTGGGGCTATGCGTCCATCGACAGCATCGGAAAGATCAAGTAAGATGGCGCGCAAATCAGGTAAATATCTAAATGTTAAAGTTGATTCTTGGAATCAAAACTAAATCGTTGATAGCATACGTTTTCACCACTCCCGAAACTTTGCCACTCATATATTCTTCGTCATAAACTTTCATACATTGTCTTTCGACGGCTTCGAGGTGTTTTTCATTGATTAGAAAATTTAAAAACTAAACAAACCATAGTTTGACTTTGACTAAAAGGAAAATCTTACCTGATGTATTCGATTTAGATGAATCGAATTGACAAAACCACGAAATAATTTCATTTGAATGGTATCAAGTTGGAAAAAGATCAAATAAGCGATCACTAAACATATTGATTGTTTATCTTTCGCAATAAAACCATCTATCTCACCTTTATAGATATTCTTCTCTGATTTTCGTACATTTACCCCATCAGTCGCGTAAAAAATGTCGATAACTGTTTTTAATAACGTCGAATGACGAATACAATCGAATAAAATAGTTGATACAAACGCTTCATTCGGAACCTAAATACAAAAAAAGCATCTCCAACTTCGAATCGAACGTATTTCCAAGGGAATTCAATACTTGATTTGCTCGGAAATAATTCTCTAAGAAAACTTCCTCCGAAACATTTTCTGTATATTCGTTCAATACTTGGACGCAGTGATAGAAAAGTTCACTATAGCTATTAGCGTTTCTATTCATTCCGAATGAACAAGAACAAAACTAATCGCAATGCAAATCACCATTGATAATGCCTGTACCATGGTGACAAAAATCAGAAGAGTAAATCATAATGGATAAAAAAACGGCAAAAAGTGAATTTATTGAAAATTATTTCATTGATTATTTTTATTTTTATTTCAGAATTGAATTGAAAACAAATGATTTCGATTGGTTGATTTATTGTCGAATGAGAATCGCTCACTCATTTTTGTCTGCTCTGTGCGTTCTCTTCTCTTTTCTTCACATCCATCCCGAATGAGTTTTTTATTTCCCCATTGTGTCGATCCTCATCAAGGTCGAATGTACATTCAAATCGTTTTGCTTCTATTATCTCCAAGTAAGAATCCTTGAATGAAATCTTACAAAAATTTCAATTTGGAATTCTAGTCTCATTTGCTTATCATCCAAATCCAACGCCATGGTTTTGTACAGATCCGACTGCTTTGGACTCAACCGTTGAAATCTCACAAAAACTACCGTCATGTCTGCCAGGATATGTCATTGACATCGAAGATGTCGTCTATGAATCGACTATTGATGGAAAATGTTCCGGCAAAAGTTTATGTAGTATACATAATAAAAATACTCTCCTATTTGCATGTAATCAGAAACAAGTATGTAGTGTAGAAATACGACATTTTCGTTTTCATATTAATTCGACATGCGGTTCAACCGTACGATTTTTTACTAAATACCGTTGTTTACCTGTCATACATGAACAAAAAGACTTTCTCTGTGAATCATCTCTTCGACGACCGAATGCCATTGATATTAAACTATCCTGTCAAAGATTTTACCGTTTACACATTACATTGGCATTGGTTGGCATTAGTATTAAACAACAAGCCGATGAAAATCAACAACGTTTCAAATGTAACAAAGATACGTATTGGCTCTGTAATCATTATGTACCTGACGCTTATCGAAGTGTATGCAGCAGCCAATTGAATCGTGGCATTGGAGATTTTTGTGAAATCAAATCCTACGATCGACCGAGATTAAAAGGATGTCAATACGGAGAAATGTCGAATTTTTCATTAGTCGAATATTCATGTATACCAGGTAATGATGACAGAAGGACAATTCTTTTACAGTTTTCTCTCGTGTGTTGTATAGGCGAAGGTATCACAGAAGATCTTCCTCGAATTGACATTTGTTCAGATGGTTCATTCGAACGAATAACAGTTAATCATGGTCTTCTTCATTCTCCTAATTATCCTCATTCAATAGGAAAATATTTATCATGTAAAAAACAAATACATATTACACGCGAATCGCGTCTTCGCTTATTTATGCTTGAGAAATCGATCGAATATTATCATGAATTAAACATTCGTCTACTAAACAATGAACCAAACATTCAACGTACATTAGCAAAAAATGAATTACTCGATACAAATATCACTAGTCAGCAGAAAAATGAAATTCTTGAAATTGAATTGAAAACAAACCATGTTGGTGGTGGCAATTTTTTACTTTATTTTCAAGGTAAAACTTCTTCATACACACTTTTCCTTCTTTGTCTACTAAATTGAGACAAATATCCTATGACTCTCATGTCAGTCTTGATAAATGATGATCAACACGTACAAACCGTTAACGCGTATGCTAATTTATTCTAGTCGATTCTCGCATCTCCGAATATGCCCCGTTGATTCTTGAAGCTGATAGAAAAACAAATGATCAGGGTCGCCGACAAAACCTATCGGTGAAACGCGAATGGGGTAAGTTATGAAAAGAGAAAAAATTGTATATTACTTATTTAATAACTCTTCAAAGACCATAAAATAACTGTAAATAGTCCTTATGAAATAGTATTTACATAGGAAAGACGAGAGTTTCTATGGAAATTAAACAGAACGCAAAATAAATATTTTTTGTATGAAGACTGTTCTAATCAATCATCCTGATTGATGAATCTTTCCGAGGAAATATGATATTGCTTTGTTGCTCTCTTTTCTTCCTAGAGAACACGGATAAACTTCCGTGTCGAACGCTAATTTAACACTGAGCCTGTCGCGACGGAAATTTTATTCCGACATCGAGAGAATAAAGCGCTTTAAGTAACGAGCGAATTAACATCATTGTGCCTTTTGATGTTGAATAGTGATTACGAGTCTTGCGTCATACATTTATTTAATGGACGACCTTGACAGACACAGTGCGTAGGACAAAGCTGAAGAAAAGATCAAACTATCGAACTTTTTTTTTCATTAATTTCTTCGTGAGAAACGTGGAAGTACATACGATCGAGTTCATTTACATGTTGTATAATAACAATTACTATCCTTGGAGGGCAGACTCTGTGATTTATTGAAATAATATTCTTCTAGGAATTGTTATTGGAGGTTTAATCGGCCTTGTTTCTGTTGTTGCACTCATTGTCATCGTTCTGACCATTGTTCGAGTATCAAAGTTAGTTGAATTGTTTTCATGAACTAACATTTCGTTTATCTTCGTGAATGACAATTTTCAGACGTCGCCGTGCTGCATCGATGAAATATTTGAAAAGTGATGATGATCATCGTCAACATTTGAATGCCTCCTCGACTGATTATCATCATCCGCAGAAACCTATTCAAATTGAACATCCGCATTTATTATCATCATCGACGATAATTCCATCATTACCCAGCAATCATCGAGTGAATACTTCATCAGGAATCCATGATGGTGTATCCGATCGCGAATCTCTCATCAAACAACTAGGACATTCGCATCCGACAAGTACGAATCTCGATGATTTCTACGAGGAAATAAAGGAACAACATCAACAACCAATTCATTTAGATCTAGGAACTAATCCTTATCTCGAAGCGAAATCTTTCGACGATCGACGAAAGCTTTTCGAAGAGCACAGATTATCACAACCAATTCGAGATCATAACGAGGTATTCTATTATGAATATGATAGCTAAGCTTCTTATCCTTGCTTTAATTTATGCTTGCTTTTGTTTTCTTTCACCGCTTTTCTTACCTTACACATTGNCAACCGTCTATAAAACATATAACTGAAATCTTACGAAAAGCCAAATCATCATATTTACCGCAATTTCTTAAGCAAGCTGAACAATTACAGACGAATACCAAACGTGCTGATAATAATTTATCGTTTTTGATCGCTTTGAAAGATCCATGTCACGAATTAGCTGATGCTAAACCAAGTGAAATACCGAGACTTCTACCGAAAATTGTTTCGTTGATTCGAGTCATTTGGGTCAACTCAGAATTTTATAATCGACCAGAAATTCTAACAGCACTCTTTCGCAAAGTAAATCATCAAGCACGACTAATTTTCTTCTCTTCTAACTATTTATCATTATCTTGTAGCTCAGTAATGAAGTCATTCGGCGATGCACGGTCGCTATTGATCTCAATAAAATTTTCGAAGGACAAACCACATCGAGTCAAAAGGTATTGAACGAATGTATCGAATGCTGTCAACAATGGCAAGAAATCTATAGTAATGTATGTCAACACCACTGATATTGCTTTTTTTCCTGTACAGTATTTGCTTTTAAGGCTCAACATCTTCATGAGAAATTTTCTGTGAAACCATGGCGTCTTGATAAGACAACAATATTTGCACAGATCGAAGCGTTCATCCAACGTTGCCGAGATTTACTTAATCTCTGCGAATGTCAAATGCATTTTGCACGTTGGGAAGATGGTACTCGAACGGAACTGCCCATCTTCGGTGGCCAACGTGGTCCAATCATCAATCGAATGTTAACAGATATCGAAGTGGCATTCGATAGAAACTTACAAGAACTGAGAAAATCGCAGTCGATTATTCTAAATGTTAAAGCAACGACTTGGCATGACGTTTACAATCGTTTTCGGGCCCAAATGAAAGATCTTGAAGTGAAAATGACCAATGTCATTACATACGCATTCGATGCAGTGAAAACAGTGGAACAAGGTGTGGAAGTTCTCGATGTTTTCACTCATTTGAGTACGAGAGAAGTAAGTCTAATGGTATTTAAGATTCATCATCAACTAAGTGAACCTGCATTGTAGGATATTCGTCGTGCAGTGGATAAGAAGACTGTTGAATTATACAATATATTCAAATATGTTCTTCAAACGATTCAAACAATCATTTCAACTTCGTCGATTCCTCAGTCACTCGAACGATTTCATCCTCAATATGCCGGTAGTGCTTTCTGGGCACGTACGTTAAAACGACGAATTGAACGCATGATGTCATTTTTAAACATGGCACATTTTCTTCCAACCGTTGGCATTTCAACTGACATTCGTCAACAGTATGAACATGTGAAACAAGCATTGGATGATTTCATTCAACGACAATACAAAGAATGGTCATACCATATCGAGAATGAACCGTCGAAACGGCTCGAATGTCCGCTGATCAAACGTATTAACGATCAAGGTTATTTACAAGCGAATTTCGATGCATCACTAGTGAAACTGTTACAAGAAATCAAGTTTTGGGAACGTCTTGGCTTTGAAATTCCATCGTATGCAAGTGAAATTCTCACGCGAAAGAACGAATTGCGTACTGCACGTGAAAATGTAATGTTAATCGTCCGCGACTATAATCGTATTCTGGACAAACTCGATTCGCACGAACGTGTCCTCTTCAAAGAACGTATTAAACAATTAGATAAGAAATTAGCACCTGGTTTGAATAAAATCACATGGCTGAAACCGACGCATGACTATACGGTTGATTGTCGTATAAGTGCATCGGAATTGAATCAACATGTCGATAAATATAAGGAATCTTATCGGGATTGTATTAAATTGTGTAAGAAGATAAGTGAAACACTTTTGGTTAAAATCGATTCGCGGAAAATCTTCGAAAACTTAGAATTTGAAGAATATCAGGTAAACCGAACTCGCGATTGGAATGAAATGAAATTCATCGTTTCTGTTCTAGAGAGAATTTCGAAAAGCGCAAAGTGAAAAAATTCAAGAATATTTCAATGCCATTCTCCGCAAAATCGATGAAACACACAAATTATTCGAAAATGATCCACCCGATGTTCAACACGAATGGAATCGTATTGTTGTTGAATTAGACAAATGGCTCGAGCGAGCTATTCGATATAATTTCAAAACATCTCTGCAAGAACTATCCAAAGCAATCATTGGTGACGGCAAATCGGCGCCCGGGCCACTATTCAAAATCGAAATCATTCTCGAACCAAAAGTTGTGGGCGACACAACACTATCACGAGTAAATAGTTTCTCATTTCAAATACCAAACGTCATCTCTTTCATCAAATAGATCAATTTCAAACCAGATATTGCTACTTTGAAAGGTATCGTAAATAATATTGGTGAACATGAACTCGCCAATGCGATTACTTTTATTCACCGATTCAAAGCAAGAACGCATGAAGAAGTAAGCGAGAGAAGAATCCTTTCTAAGATACGAATTATTTGATTTAGCCTCTTCATTTATTACTGAACAAAGATGAACCTAAACAATATCTTCAGAAACAAATCGCTACTGGCCTCGATGCCAATGAAAAACATCTCGATGAATATCAATCAACTTGGAATGGTGTTCGAGAATTATGGGATATCGACAAAGAACGCTTCATTATTCGTTATGAAGAAAGTGCTCCGGATGCATCAATATTTGATGCGGATATCAATCGTTACACTGAAGTAGCAAATAATGTTCAATCACGAGATACACTAACAACTGTTCAATTCGTACTTGTTGATTGTACACCACTGAAAAATGCTTTACTTGTGCATTGTCTGCAATGGCAAGCGAAATTGACTGGTAAGAATGAAAAGAAAAACATGAATTGAATAGATGATATGCCTTGTTTTTAGCACTTCTATTGAAATTAGCAACGAATAGTTTACAACAACTGACAAATTATATCGAGGAAAATAGTGCGAGGTGAGTAGAAGATCAAGCAAACAGAATTCATCGAACAGAGATCTTTTGTTTAGTGTGATGGTCGTACCGGAAAATCACTATGGATTAGAAGCAAAACAGAAATTATTGGAGACTTTACAACAAGAAGTACCAGTCTACGAAGCGAAATTTGGACCATTACGTGAACGATTTGCTTTACTTGATAAGCATGAAAAACCTGTACCCGATAGTGTAAGTCATCATTTGTTGTACAATCCTGAGTGAAAGTATACCTGTTTGGATTTTATAGATTCGTCAAATGCTCGCCCAACTAGACGAACGTTGGCAATTCTATCTTCAATGCTTACTAGACAGCGAAGAGATGTTGAAGAAGCTTCGCGAGAAATTCAAATCGAAATTATTACAGCAATCCGAAGAATTCAAAAAGAGCGTTACGGAACTTGTTACAGAATTCAAATCAAACGGTCCATTCTCATCATCGACAACACCAGAAGAGGCTCTTAGTCAATTAGATGCAATGAAACAACGATTAGCGAAGTTGAAAGAAGAAGAACAAGAACTTCGCCGTGGCTTAGGGATCTTTCGCATTGATCATCCACTATCGAAAGATATCATCAACCTCGAAAAAGATATCGAAGCATTAGAAGGCATCTGGACCATGGCACTTGAATGGAATCAAATGTTTGATAAATGGAAATCAACAACATTCGGTAACCTTCAAACACAAGTCATGGAAGATTATGCTCAATCACAATATCGAAAACTACACAAACTATCGAAAGATTACCGTGAGAAGAATTGGGAAATCATCGATACAACAAAGAATCGTGTTGATCAATTTCGACGAACAATGCCATTGATGAAAGATTTGCATAATAAAGATATGCGAGATCGTCATTGGCAACAGATTAAAGAAGAATCACAAAAAGAATTTGATGAAACATCCGAAGAGTTCACATTGGAAAGTATCATCGATTTACATTTCGAAGAAAATGCGCAATTGATCAATGAAGTTAGTGAAGCAGCACAGAAAGAGGCAGCCATCGAACGGGGTATCGAGAAAATTCGAGACCAATGGGATAAAGTCGAATTTGAAGTCGTACCATACAAAGATAAAGGTAAAATAGATCTTAACAAGATCAATAAATATACATTTCCCGTCGTTTAGGTCATTTTAAGATCAAATCGACCGAAGAAATCTTCAAAGCTATTGAAGAACATCAAATGTCTCTATCGACATTTAAAGCATCACGTTTCATCAAACCATTCGCTAAAGTGGTTGATAAATGGGAACGTGATATTTCTCATGTAAATGAAGTAACTGATTTATGGTTGAATGTTCAACGACAATGGCTATATCTCGAAGTAAAACTCTATCAATTCGAAATTAACAGTGTCAATTTCTCTTTGTTTAGAATATTTTCTACGGTGAAGATATTCGTCGTCAATTAGCAAAAGAAACTGCCCTATTCGATGAAGTGAATGAAAAATGGAAAGTTGTTATGACAACATTGAATCTAGAACCAAACGCGTTTCATGGTACGCATTTAGCAGGTGTAGAAGAAGAACTAAAATATATGAATACGAACTTGGAAGAAATCCAAAAATCTCTTGAAATGTACTTGGAAAATAAACGTCGACAATTTCCACGATTCTACTTCATTTCTAATGATGATCTGCTAGAGATCTTAGGTAATTCGAAAGAACCACTAAAAGTTATGCCACATATGAAGAAATTGTTCGATAACATCAAAACATTAACTCTTTCGAAACCGTCTAAAGATGGACCACAAGTAGCAATAGAAATGAAGTCAAACGAAGACGAAATTGTTCCATTCGATGGTCAAGTGAGTATCTTCTTTTCTATACGAAATCAACTCAAAACGACTTTCCCTAGGTTACCCTGGACGGACAAGTCGAGAAATGGTTACGCGATGTCGAAAATAAGATGAAAGAAGTTGTCAAACGCAAAGTGCTCGCATGTCGACACGATCTAGCAAATTGTGGTACAAAACGTGAGAAATGGTTGAAATCTCATCCTGGCCAAGCATGTATCACTGCAAGTCAAATTCAATGGACAGAGGAAGTCGAGAAATCCTTACGTGACAATCCATTAAAACTACGTAGTGATCGTAAAAAACAACATCTTGTATTGAAAAATTTTACTGATATGATCAAGAAAAATTTGACTCGACTTGAACGTGTTAAACTTGTGTCATTGGTTACAATCGAAATTCATGCACGTGATGTCATTAATGATTTGATTAAAAGTCAAATAAAGAGTGCACAAGCATTTGAATGGGCACAACAATTACGATTTTATATTCGAAGAGACGAAGTTATCATTGAACAAGCGATTGGAAGATTTTGGTATGGCTGTGAATACTTAGGAAATTCAGGAAGATTGGTTATTACACCATTGACAGACAGGTTAGACCTTAGAATTTCAATGTGAATTTTCTATGTTTCAATCGATCTATTCTAACTAGATGTTACATGACGTTGACAATAGCTCTGTCGTTGTGCCGAGGTGGTTCACCCAAAGGACCTGCTGGTAGGATGATCGCATTTTTCGGAGAATCGTTTGAACATTCTTTCTTGCTATCTATTAGGTACTGGTAAAACTGAAACAGTCAAAGATTTAGGTAAAGCAATGGCATTCTATGTCATCGTTACGAACTGCTCAGACGCGATTGATTATAAATCGATGGGTCGTATGTTTATGGGTTATTGTCAAACAGGTGCATGGGGTTGTTTCGATGAATTCAATCGGTAAAGAAATTTACAACTGACGATTAATGTTTTACTCGATCATTTCTCTTTAGAATTAATATTGAAGTATTGTCCGTCGTCGCTCAACAGATTACGTCGATTTTAAATGCAATGAAGATACTACAAGATGAAATTAAGAATAGCATGCGTGCTAAAATAAACATGTCGGAAGATGATGCATTCGCTACGGTTGACAAACGTTTATTATCGAGAAAGTTTACATTTCAAGGACAAGATATCGATCTTGTTTGGTCATGTGGATTGTTCATTACAATGAATCCTGGTTAGTTCAATTCACTACTTGTCTATTTTGTGGAATGCAATGTTGTATTCGTTGCCATTGTAGGTTATGCTGGTCGTACGGAACTGCCCGATAACTTAAAATCGATGTTCCGTCCAATTTCAATGTGTGTTCCAGACAGCAACTACATTGCTGAAATTATCCTTTTCGGCGAAGGTTTTTCAGATACACGTCTACTCGCTACAAAAGTCTACACACTCTATCAACTTTGTGCTCAACAATTGTCTAAACAAGGTAAGAACAATCAACTAATTTATGTCTATAGGGAAATCTTCCATTTAGATTTCTATGATTTCGGTCTTCGTTCTATGGCTGCCGTACTTCGTTATGCTGGTCGAAAGAAACGTGATTCGCCGAGTTTGAAAGACGATCAAGTGGTTATTCTAGCTATGAAAGATATGAATGTCGCTAAAATGACTGAAGCTGATCTACCCTTATTCAATGGCATCGTATCCGATCTATTTCCCGATATCGAAACGCCTATTATCGATTATTCGAAATTCAAAGCAGCTATCGATGCTGATCTCAAAGCTAACAAATTAGAAAGCACTCATCATACAGTATCGAAAGTCATTCAATTATTCGAAACGAAAAATTCTCGACATTCAGTTGTCTTAGTTGGTTGTACACAGTCAGGTAAAACAGCGATATGGCAGACATTGAAAGGTGCAATGACAAGAATGGCGCAAGATGGCGCAACTGATTCGTTATTTCAACGTGTACAAGAATATCCGATCAATGCGAAAGCAATTTCAATCAATGAACTTTACGGAGCATCGGATCTATCGACTGGAGAATGGTGCGATGGTATTCTTTCGAACAATATGCGTACAGCTTGTTCAGGTACAACAAAAGAAAGCGGATTTTTTCTCTGAAATGCTCTTGAATATTTTAGATACTAAGCCTGATCAGAAATGGATACTTTTTGACTGTCCGGTAAGACAAAATTTTCTCCTTTTTCATTGACCTTGATCATCATGAGTTTCTATTTGAACAGATCGATGCTGTTTGGATTGAATCGATGAACTCTGTCATGGACGATAACAAAATTTTGACATTGACCAATGGTGAACGTATTGCTATGCCCGAACAAGTGACACTTCTGTTCGAAACTGGTGATATGGCTGTTGCATCGCCTGCTACCGTTTCTCGTACGTTTATCCCTTGAAAATACTTTCTACTTGACAGCTTTCTCGTGTAGGCTGTGGTATCGTCTTTTGCGATTATAACAATCTCTCATGGCGACCATATATCAACTGTTGGATCAGTCAGAAGCCCAAAGAGTTTCATGAACCACTAACATATTTAACTGATAAATACTTGAAACCTATCATTCAATTTAAACAACAGAACTGCAAAGAATTGGTACCAATTGCCGAACTAAATGGTGTGCGTTCTTTTAGTTATCTATTTGATTCACTTGCAACCAAGGAGAATGATGTTGATCCAGCTCAAGAGGATAACTTCAGTCGTCTGACAGAATTATTCTTCTTATTCTCAACAATCTGGTCGGTTTGTGCATCCGTCGACGAAGAAAGTCGAAAGAAAATCGATACTTTCATTCGAGAATTGGAAGGTACGATCCCAAATAAAGACACTGTCTTTGAATACTACGTCGACAATAAACAACGTGCATGGATCGGTTGGGAAGAAAAACTACGTTCCGGATGGAAATTGGATACTGAAGTTCCATTCTACAAAATCATCGTACCGACAGTCGATACAGTCCGTTACAAATACATAGTCTCATCGTTGATCAGAAAAGGCTTTTCATCTCTATTAACTGGACCTGTCGGTACCGGTAAAACATCGGTCGCGCATGCTGTAATGTCTGAATTGGATGCACGAGAATATTCCACGTTGATTATCAACATGAGTGCTCAAACATCATCAAATGTAGTTCAAGAAATTATTGAAGGCCGAGTCGAAAAACGTGTCAAAGGTGTCTATGTTCCTATTGGTGGAAAGAAATTACTGAATTTCATGGACGACTTCAATATGCCTGCGAAAGATGAATATGGTTCTCAACCACCATTGGAACTATTAAGATTATGGCTGGACTTTGGATTTTGGTATGATCGAAAGAATCAAACAAAGAAATACGTTAAAGTATGAATGAGAAAGACGTGTATCGTTGATGATTTACATCTCTCATTTCTAGGATATGTTCGTATTAGCTGGTATGGGCCCACCAGGTGGTGGTCGAACAGTCATCAGTCCACGATTACAAAGTCGATTTAATCTAATCAATATGACATTCCCATCGGTAGGATCTGTCGCTTCAGAACACAACGAAGCCAAAGTTTCGAACATTTATTTTTCTTAGGAAAATGAAATTCGTCGAATCTTCGGTACAATGATTTCGCAGCGTTTACAAGATTACGACGATGAATTTAAAAATTTACCTGATCAATTAACAACCGCAACAATTGAAATGTACGAAACAATTGTAGAAAAGTTCTTACCAACACCAACGAAAATCTACTATCTGTTCAATTTACGAGATATTTCCAAAGTTTTTCAAGGTTTACTACGTGCTGAAAAGAAAATGATCACATCGAAACAGACAATGATTCGATTATGGATTCATGAATGTTTCCGGTAAGAGTTAAATATCGAGAGGCCACAGTTCGAAATGATTATTTATTGTAGTGTGTTCGCTGATCGGCTGAACGACGATAAAGATCGGGAGCAATTCTATGCTATTCTATCTGAAAAGTTAGGTGTTAATATGGATGTGACGTTCCACGCGATTTGTCAAAATCGCCTTCCTCCAACTTTCGGCGATTTCTGTAACAAAGATGAAATGTATGAAGATTTGGTTGATTTCGATAAATTAAAAGCACATATGGAAAAAGTTCTCAAAGAATACAATGAAACACCGGGTACCGTGCCTATGGATCTAGTTCTTTTCCGTGATGCTATTTTGCATATCACACGTATCGTACGTGTCATCCGACAGCCACGTGGTAATATGTTGTTGATCGGTATTGGTGGCTCTGGTCGACAATCGCTGGCAAAATTATCATCGTTTATATGTAATTATGCAGTATTTAAAATAGAAATCGCAAAAAATTATCGTCGAATTGAGTTCCGAGAAGATTTGAAACGTTTGTATAAACAAGCAGGTCAATCCAATCGTGAGACGACATTTATATTCGTTGATACACAAGCTGTTGAAGAAACATTTTTCGAAGATATAAATAATATGTTAAGTTCAGGTGAAGTGCCGAATCTTTTTCGACCTGATGAACTTGAAGAAATTAAAACGAATATGTCTGGCGAGTTGAAGAGAGAAGGAATCGACGAAGATAACATTCAGGAAGTCTATGCATTCTTACTCGATCGTGTCAAAGCAAATCTACACGTTGTCGTTTGTATGAGTCCAGTTGGTGAAGTTTTCCGGTAAGTTCGTATGATATTGTAGTTGTCTGATGATTTCTGTTTTGCTTAGAAATCGTATTCGTATGTATCCATCACTTGTCAATTGCACAACCATCGATCTGTTTGCTGATTGGCCACAAGACGCTCTACTCGAAGTCGGCGAACGTTATCTCGCACAAATCGATCTCAGCAGTGACGATAAGGTAAGTATTCTTTGAATTCAGTACAGTGAACATTTCTTTCTAATCTTCCTAACGAAACACTCTCAGTTTCCAACGGTAAGATGCTATTTGTTGTTATCTGTACCCTTGTCAGTCGATTCAAGTTTCTTTGTCCAGTCGTGTATGAATTCTCCCTCTCCCGTATATTTATATATGCAAAGCTCCTTGTAAAATGGCATATAATCTCTTGATTTCTTTTCCTCTGCAGTTCCGTCCAGCCATTGCTCAGTTATTTGCTACAATACATACTTCGGTTTATCACTGTTCAGAAGAGATGTGGAATGAAATGCGGCGACGAAATTATGTCACACCAAGTAATTTCTTGGAACTGACCACTGGTTATCGAAAGTAAGAGAAAGACAATGGATGTATTCGAACTATTTTTCCTTTGCTTAGACTTCTATATGAAAAACGAAAAGAATTGTGTGATGCGCGAGATAAATTGTCGAATGGTTTAGGAAAAATCGAGGAAGCAAAAGTTCAAGTCACACAAATGTCCGTCGAACTCGAAAAGAAACGTGCTCTAGCTAATGAAGCACAAAAGAAATGTGAAGAATCGTTAGGAGGTCTTGTCAATGAACAACGCGAAGTCGAACAAAGCAAAGCAGCTGTTGAGAAACTCAAAGAACGTGTCAAAGTCGATGAAGAGAAAGCAGAGTTGATCGCCAATGCTGCTCAAGAAGATTTAGCAGCAGCTATGCCTGCACTTGATGCAGCCAATGCGGCTCTAGCAGCGTTGAGTAAGAGTTCGATTACTGAAGTTAAAAGTTACGGTCGACCGCCGCTACTCGTCGAAAAAGCACTTGAAGCTGTCATGATTCTGAGAAATTCCGAGCCGAGCTGGGCAGAAGCGAAACGTCAATTAGGTATGTTGATTTCGACAAAACAATGAAGTCTATGAACGCTTTCGTGTCAGGTGATACTAACTTCATCAATCATTTGATCAATTTTGACAAAGACAATATTTCGGATAAGATCATTATGAAAATATCGAAATATACGCAAGATCCTACATTAGCTCCAGCTGAAATCGGTAAGTTATTTGAAATCCTTCCTTGTTTTGATTTTTTTTCTTGCGTTAATCGATAGCACGTGTATCGACCGCTGCTGCTGGTCTCTTCGACTGGGTGCGAGCCATGGAACAATATTCGAAAATCTTCAAAACTGTCAAACCGAAACGAGATCGATATGAAGCAGCTATGGCTGAATTAAATGAAAAACGAGCACAAATTGCCGACGCTGAACGACAGATCCAAGAAGCTCAGAAACGTCTCGATGAACTACGTGCTAACTATGAAAAACAAATGGCTGAAAAAGAACAGCTTCGTCGTGATTGTGAACATATGCAGATGATGTTAGACAAAGCATCTCGTTTAATCAACGGTCTTGCCAGCGAAAAAGTTCGTTGGGAAGCAACTGTAGCCGATCTTCAGCAACAGATTGGCTATGTCACTGGTGATTGTCTATTAGCTGCTGCTTTCCTATCTTACATGGGCCCATTCTTGTCACAGTACCGCGATCGTATGATGAACGAAATCTGGGTGAAAGAAATTCGAAAACTAACTATACCATGCAATCCAGATTTCAACTTCGCCAACTTCATGTCGATACCAACACAAGTACGAGATTGGAATATTCAAGGTTTACCATCAGATACGTTTTCAACTGAAAATGGTGTTATTGTTACACGTGGTACACGTTGGCCATTGTAAGTTTTTTCACCGAACTTTGTTTTTGAAAGAAGAAACTAATTTGTGTTGTTTCCATTCTAGAATGATTGATCCTCAAGCACAAGCTATTAAATGGATTAAAAGTATGGAATTATCGAATAATTTATGTGTGTTTGACCTGCAAACTCATGATTACATGCGCATTGTTGAAACCTGCATACGCACCGGCCGTCCATGTCTTTGTCAAAATGTCAAGGAAGAACTCGATCCATCACTTGATCCTGTTTTGACTCGCGCAGTTAAACGTGTTGGCGGTGTCGATATAATGAAATTAGGTGAACGAGAAGTTGAATATCACAAAGATTTTCGATTCTATATGACGACAAAATTACCAAATCCACTCTATGCTCCGGAAATTTCCTCGAAAGCCAATATTATTAACTTTGCCGTCAAAGAACAAGGTTTAGAATCGCAATTACTTGGTATTGTCGTCCGAGAGGAAAAGCCCGAACTAGAAGCTGATAAAGATCGATTGGTTCGTGGTATTGCCAAGGGTAAAAAGAGTCTCCTGGAACTGGAAGATCAATTGTTACGATTATTGAACGAAACGAAAGGTTCACTACTAGAAAATGACGAACTCTTATCAACATTAGAAATATCGAAACAGACTGCAAAGACTGTGCAAGAACAACTGATTACATCCGAAGCAACAGAAAAGGATATCGATGCTGCTCGTGAAGTAAGTTTTCCTTCTAAGCAAAAGAAACCGATTTGATCATCGTTATGTAATACTTATTTAGAGTTATCGACCATGCGCTGAGCGTGCATCAATTCTCTTCTTCGTTCTCAATGATTTGGGTAAAATCGATCCTATGTATCAGTTTTCCTTGGATGCGTACATCGATCTATTCAATATCTCCATAAAAAAGAGTCAGAAATCAAATAAACTTGAAGATCGTTTGAATAAACTGAACGATTTTCACACCTACGCTGTTTATAAGTAAGTCAATCGTACGACAACTCGATTGTAACATGTCTTCTTTTATTTAGATATACTTGTCGTGGTCTATTCGAAACACATAAACTGCTCTTTTCATTTCAAATGTGCGTTAAAATCCTTGAAGCTGCTGGTAAGATAAATATGGACGAATATCAATTTTTCTTACGAGGTGGCATTGTAAGTAGTCAAAATTATAATATCTGACAAAGTAAAGTGACGATGCCGGTTCAATTGTAGGTTCTTGATCGTGAATCTCAAATGGATAATCCCAATCCTCAATGGTTAGCCGATTCATCTTGGGATAATATCACTGAATTGGCTAAATTAGCAAATTTTCATGGCATTATCGAATCGTTCGAACAGTATCCACGAGATTGGCATCAATGGTTTCAAGCGAGCGAACCAGAAAATACGGCTATGCCAGGCGAATGGGATTCAGTGAATGAATTACAGAAGATGTTAATTGTCCGAAGTTTACGTTCAGATCGTGTACCATTCGTCGTACAGAAGTTTATTGTGAACAATCTAGGCTCGAAGTTCGTTGAACCACCTATTCTTGATTTGAATGCCGTTTTCGATGACTCTACACCGAAATCACCGATTATCTTTGTTTTATCGCCTGGCGTCGATCCATCTGGTAGTCTGACTACTCTCGCTGAAAAAATGGACTTCAAGAAGAACTTCTTACCACTATCACTCGGCCAAGGACAAGCACCTATCGCTACACAACATATTGCCGAAGGTGTCCGTGCGGTAAGATATCATCTAAAAATCCTCCAATAGCTAATTGATCGAATATATTCTCTGTAGGGTCGATGGGTATTTCTTGCCAACTGCCATTTATCGTTATCGTGGATGCCTGATTTGGAAAAAATCGTCGAAAATCTTTCAGTTGAAAAAGTTCATCCTCAATTTCGATTATGGTTATCATCGTCGCCATCTCCACAATTTCCCATTTCGATTCTTCAATCTGGTATTAAAATAACAACTGAACCGCCGAAAGGTATCAAATCCAACATGAAACGTCTATATGGCCTCATCGACGAACAGGATTTCGCGGAGAAAAATCGTCAACCTCATCCGGAAAAATACAAACGTCTTCTCTTCTGTCTCTGCTTCTTTCATTCACTGTTATTAGAACGAAAGAAATTCCTTCAACTTGGCTTCAATATCAACTATTCATTCAATGATTCCGACTTCGAAACATCAAACTTAATTATGGGTCATCTCTTACGTGATCACGACACGACACCGTGGAAAGCAATGAAATTCATTATCGCGAAAATCAACTACGGCGGCCATGTCACAGATACACGTGATATGCGTGTTTTAAATACATACATCGAAGATCTATTCAAAGACGAAATTATCGACCCACAAATGCAATACTATAAACTAACAAAACTACCCAATTACTATGTACCACGTGATGGAACATTGAACGAGTATAAGAACGCCGTGGCAACTGTTTTGCCTAACATTGATCATCCAGAAGCATTCGGTCAACATACAAACGCTGAAGTGGCTTCGCAAATTCGTGAAGCACGAATGTTATTTGAAACGTTATTATCTCTTCAACCGCAAGTCGTTGCAACTCAAGGTAAAAAATCGACCGAAGATGAAGTTATGGAAATGGCCACACGTGTATTAGAACAATTACCCGAAAAGATCGATTTTCAAAGCACAGTGAAAATCCTGTCCGAGGACCATTCACCACTGAAGGTCGTTCTATTACAAGAAATCGAGCGTTACAATCTTCTCCTAGACATCATTCGACAATCGTTGGTATCTTTACAAAAAGGTATCAAAGGTCTTGTGGTCATGTCATCCGATCTCGAAGAAATCTTTCGATGCATCCTCGATGCACGCGTACCAACACAATGGCAAAAAATGTATCCATCATTAAAACCTCTAGCTTCATGGACACGTGATCTTGCTCAGCGTGTTGATCAACTAGCTAAATGGGCGGAGAGTGCACATGCACCGGCTGTTTTCTGGATGTCAGGTTTCAGTTTTCCAACAGGTTTTCTCACTGCAGTCATGCAAACAACAGCTCGTGCAACAAAGATTAGTATCGATCGTTTGATATGGGATTTCGAAGTGATGAAAGTGGAAGATAACTACTTACAAACACCAAAGGACGGTGTTTATGTGAAAGGATTATTTCTCGAAGGTGCTGGATGGGATAAGAAAAACGCATGTTTAATTGAAGCTGAGCCAATGCAATTGGAAGTACCGATGCCCACAATTCTCTTTCGACCAACAGAAAACAAGAAGAAATCTTTAGCAACAGAAGAAGATCGAGAACGAAAGACAGGTAATTTTCATCGTAGAAGAACAATGAGAAGAAAGTCTATTGATTTTATTGTATTTCATTTCATCTTAGATGTTTATTCATGTCCAGTTTATTACTTTCCAAACCGAGCGGGCGGTTTTGGTCATCCATCATTTGTTGTTGAAGTCAATCTTAAAACACCTCACTTTCCAAATAGCCACTGGGTTAAACGTGGTACTGCCTTACTGATGAATTTAGATAGATAAACTAAATTACTGATAATTACAGTAATCGATATGTAAAGTTTTCTTTGTTTGTCTGTTTTAATTGTTTTTAAGTAATACACATATATATCTTTTACTTAATCATTCAGAAACATAGTTGATGATACATCTGAAGACATTGAGATTTTAAAATCTTTCAAAGATACGGTCGTATGAATCATTTTATTATGAAACAGACAAACGACTATCGATCCATTCGACTGTCATCCAAGTAACGAGCGGATATTCATACACATTTGCTATTTTCGCTAATCTATCGATATTACTAAGTCCATCCGTATCTTGTCGAATAACTGCATCGAATAAAAGACGAACACGTTTGGGATTTCGTGTTTGTGATGAATGTGAAGCTGCATAGTAAAAACCAGTTGTCGGTCGCTGCACACACGTATCTTTAGCTAAGAATCGTAAACCCATATCATCATCTTCTCCACCCCAGTTAAAATATTGATTCGAATAGCCGTTCAAAAACTGAAAACTCTTCGGACGGATTGCTAGAACTCCACCGACGAGAAACGAATAGATTTTCGTGTATTTCCCTTCAAGTTGAGAACGTACATTAGCTGACATATGAATAGGATGATCAGCTGATGTCAAACATGTGTATAAATTTTGATTGTTCTCTGGGATGAGATCAACATCTAGACACACAAGAAAAGAAAGAATCATTGTACCAATTAGAAGTTTCCTATTTTTACCATGAAAAATCACGCATGTAGGTTTATATGTTTTCATTAAATGATGGAATGCAAAATTGTTTAATCGAGCTTTATTGAATGCACCTAGTGCTTGCTGTTCAACAATAAATATTTTATAATTTACAATGGATTGTCGATTTAAAAATGGTACTAAATTATATAACAAATTTCGTAGATTGTTTTCTCGATCGCGGTATGGAATCACAATTGCGACAGTTTCATTCTCATACAATGAACATTTCTTCGTTGTTTGCCATAATTGTGCATATTTAGATGTGGAGGGTGAACGTACTTGGAAATCAATCGGTGGATGGAGATCGATCGAGATAGTTCCATTCAATTGAATGTTGCAAGTTTTCGAGATTTGATTGATTAATTCAGTTCGATCGAGCACACCTTGTTGATCCTGACAAACAACCTGATGATCAAATAATCGCCAAATATTTACAGGAACGAGAACTTTCTCTTTTTCTATTAGATAAGAAGGCGAATTAGAATGGTTAAATTGTTCTAAATCTTGATAGAGTGATATTCGGTTTGTATTTAACATATGGAACGATATAAATGATAGAAAGATCAATATGACTAGAAAACGGTATTTACTGCTTTTTAAAATACGTGAAATATAATATAGTCGGCCACGTAGCGAATCCATTGGATTGTATTTGACTAAAACAATGTATGTTGAATCTAAAATTTCTTTGAGATAGAAAATATCATGGCATGTCCATCCTCGAAAGAAGACATTTGTCAAATGCAGCGTGGAATTAAACGACTCGAGATTGACATTCCAGAAAATGTTTTTCTGGCTAACATAGAATGCTTTGTTTTATGTCAATAGATACTCCAATAAAACTGAAATGATGAAGACTGATGTGATGCGCGTATTTATTTTCTTTTTCTCGCCTTCTCTCTCTGTCTATACGAACTGTCTCGATGATTAATACCGAACGACAAACGACACACAAGAAAAGATTAACAATTTAACTTAGTTCGATTCGTGTGACTGACGAGTGAGTGCGTATGCGTTATGGTGGAAGGATTTGTTTGCTTATAAGAGTATTACCTTCATCTCTTAGCAACATTTGAGTCATACATGATGTTGAAAAAGGTATAAAAACATTGAATTTACACTTACGCAGTCATTGGGGTTCAAGTAAAAGACACATGTTGAGTTTATTTCGCATTCTGCCAGATGGCTCGTTCTTTGGATGGGTGAGGAAAAATTTTTGTCTTCATTCCTACTTCAGTTTAATTATAATAAGAGACTAACAGAAGGTATGTCTGATACCTAAGTACCTGCTACAAGGACATGATTAGATATTCCATTTTCTATTGATATATGCTAATCCGTAATGACAATGAAATCCATGGATTTTTTACTAAAGAAACAAAAGATATGTAACAATTGTAGTACGGTAAAAGGAGATATAAAAAGAACGGACGTGTATCTGTTCTATATCAAAATTTTGCTTCTTCTAAAACAGTAATAGTGGTTTTTCTTTTCTTTTTTCCAAAGCACACTTCAGGTGTGATTACTACGTGATAGAATGTAATGAAAATGTTTTATTTGCTCTCTGTTCCATTCAAATCAAAATAATGAGTATTAATAATATTTGATCGTTTTCCAAGAATTCAACAAAGTTTCTTGTTATCTTCATATATGTAGGTAATGCTGTCTGGCGAGTAATAAAATATCTCAAATCATGTGTAATAAATGTCGACCTTCCTGCCAAAGCAGTTATATTTTCAATAGTCTGCTTGAAGTTATTAAGTTCGGCATGAAAGGCAAAAAGATTAAACGAAATCAGTATTTATCACCCTGCTGTGATACAGTACATTGAAATTGAATGACAACCATAGAATAATTTTCCTACGCACTCTGATTTGAGGTCTCGATCCTGTGCTCTACCGCCCTCTAGGCCAAACGCGATGTTGTTATTGCATAACACGAAGCAATCAAAATCAAGATAGAAAACGGTGTTCATTATAAAAGATTTTCAATCATGAGCACGTCACCAAGTAATCGAAAGAAAAGTCCTAACAAAACAACGATGGATACACCCACGCGTCGGAAGCGATGCATTGAACTGCCTATCTCTGGTAATAGCATTAAATATTCTAGTCGAAGTATTTGCTGTGGATTTTTTTCAGTGGATGTCGAAGAGAAATCGAATGAAAAACGAACGAAAACATCACCGGTTTCGAAAGCGAATCCGAAGGATCGAGCTGAGAAGTAAGATCAATCATCCATTCAATTTCTTTGATTTCATCTTGAGGGTATATTAAAGAGCGTCGACTGAACAATATGAAGATGATTTCGAGGAAGACGCTGACAATGTTGAGAAAAGTATATTCCTCCTACTCGAATAACAATATCGACTTCTGTTTCGAATAGAAAACGCATCCGAAGAAGATTTATCACCACGATTAAGCAAGTAAGAAAATAGGTGATAATCAAAGTCATATGCCATTATTTGATTTTTGTTTAGTTATGATGAAGATAGTAGAGAAGGAAAGTACTACAATGAAAGTAAAAGTTCTCAAGACGAACCGTCATCTCAACCTATAACTGATAGTAAACTGTTTTTTGAATATCTCTAATAACAATACAATCAGCATCGCTTTCTCTCTTCGAAGGTTTAGACTTTGAAAATGTTGATGACGAAGATGATGGAACATATCAAGTAAATTCTTTTACCGACTCAATTATGCTTATCTAAATCTGCAAGAATAGGGCGTACCGTTGTCTGAAATACCAAACATATGTGACAAACCGCCACGTCTAATGGATATGATGGATGTTCGCGATCCTAATCACACATTTCTCATCCAAGTATGTTACCTTGATGATATCGAAAAGACTAGAATGACATTCATTTCAAACAGCCATTTAAATACGATCCAGCCAATGAAGATTGTGAGCCGAAATCGATTCTTGAAGACGGATCGTACGTTGATGAATGGGATCAAGATCATGTTCGTTTGCCATGCTCGCCGTCTTATGTCACCGTAAGATTTATTGACGAATATCCTATCTATCAGAATTGATCATGATTGCTGTTTTTCTAAAATAGAAAAATGGAACCCAACGATGGCCAATCATTCAAGATGCTTTGAGAAAACTGCAACGTATGGCAGAAACATATATGGCATCTGTAGAAGATATTAAAGTAGAAAGCTGTTTTCTTTTGAGAAGAATTCTGCCATGATTGATTTGGTTTTGCAAAGGAAACAATTGAAGAGTGTGCCGGACGAACATATGAATTGAATTGTCTCGAACGGCTTCTTAATGAAGTACGTTTCCGCTTCGATTTGTTCGAAATAAATTTCGCTTTTTCAGGAATATTCCTCCGATGAACGTGCTCATTTTCTATCAACTGTCCTATCGAATATCTGTAGTTTAGCAATGAATGTTCACAAAATCTGTTCTAAAGTAAGAATTCTTCTGTTCAGTTCAAAAGTAACATTCCGTCGTGTATGACTGTTCTTGTTAGCCACCACCGCTTTTACGTATCGGATCAAACCGTACAGTGACTATGTCACAACGTCAATGCGCATCGTTGATGGCCTGTGCGTTTTTCTGTTTATTTCCGCGACGCTTTAATCAGAAAGTTGGCAGTGAATATGAAAATTATCAAAATCCAAATTTTAACACGTATGTGTTGTTGTATCTGATCGAAGCAGTTCCATTCATATATTTACTTTTGATGTATTGAAGACTCTTTCAAGGCGGTCGAACGGGTGGACCATCATGGAAACTTGAAAAACTCAAATGTGTCTTTAACTACTTTCGACGTATTACCGACAAAAGTGAGTCCAATCGCATCATGCTCATTTTGACAAAATCTCGGTATTTTCAAGTGCCAAACGGTGTATTATCATTTCGGCGTTATCGTTTACCCGAAACTTGTCTACCGAAATGGGCAGATTCGAACGAATCTCTATGCAAACTTCATGTGACGAAAAATAAAACTATTGAAGATATGGATGGTCTTTTACAAGTAAATAAACATCGATTGAATATCATTTGCTATCGTTTTCTTACTGTTTAGGTGGACTTTGCTAATAAATACATTGTAAGTAACAGTGCCTGATGCGTTCGTTCATGAAAATATGTTTCTCAGGGCGGTGGCGTAATGAATGAAGGCTGCGTCCAAGAAGAGATACGTTTTGTTATATGTCCTGAAATGTTGGTTAGTTTGCTTCTATGTGAAGTCATTCAAGCCAATGAATGTGTTTTCCTCATTGGTTGCGAACGTTTTTCATCGTATCGAGGTTATTCCACATCATTCGAATTCAAAGAAGATTACACCGATAAAACGCCCAAGTAAGCCAAATAACTTACTCTAACTGATCTGTTCTTTCTTGTGAATATTCGTAGAGATGTTTGGGGACGAAAATTATGTCATGTTGTAGCCATGGACGCCATTGCATTTCGCGATCGAGCAACACAATACAAAGTTCCAAATATGAGAAGAGAGTTGATCAAAGCGTATACATGTTTTCGTATTCCAGCCGGCGTTACAGACGACAAATCAGGTATTGCAACTGGTAATTGGGGCTGTGGTGCATTCAACGGAAATAAACAACTTAAAGGTAAACCCAACAAAACCTTCTTTTTCCTTTTGACTTCTATCAATTCATAATTTTTAAAGCTATTATTCAATTGATTGCTTCTTCACAAGCTGGTCGTCCACTCGTTTATTTAACATTTCGTGATCAAGGACTAGTGACATCATTTTACAAAGTGTACGAACATTTACAAAAAGAAAAAGCGACAGTGAAAGATCTTTGCACTTATCTTCAATTATACTCAACTTTACACAAACGTATCACCCTATTCGAGTATATCCTCCAAACAACTGTCTCATCTCTTTACTAACTAGTATCGTTTTTGTACGCGCTCTGTATGTGTTAATATCGATGGATTTTTTTTTGAAAAAACGATTTATGCAAATTATCCTGTGTTTGTCAATATTTTCTGTTTTTTTTTACAGATATTAGAACAAATAATAAGAATGTCTATTGATGTGGTATGTTAAATAGAAATTAGAAAAAAAGAAGAATCGTTATTATTTCTGACGATTAGTCAATTGTAATGCCAGTGAGAAATGCTGTTCAATGGCTAGATGAAACTTTTCAAAGTCTAATGCAACAAGTTGTTGAGAATATTCTAATTGAACTATCGATTTATAATGATGGCAGTGCAGCAAGTGGTTTGATATTTGATAAATATGAAGATATTGTCTTGTATTAACAGGATGATACACTGAGTATGATTGAACGATGGAGAAATCGACTAGAAACGAAATATAAATTGATCGTTCATGGACATGGGGACGAAGAAGCTCGTGGCGGTGAGACATCTAAGGATAATACTTTTAAGATTCGTGTTTATTTTGGATGCAAATCGTGGAGATAATCAACGTCATACTTTGAATTTAGTCGGTTATGCGAAAAATCGAGCTGTCCAACATTCATCGGGACGACTCCTATGCTTTCAAGATGCTGTAAATCATAGCCATTCATTTTTATTCAATATAAATATGTTTATTTTAGGACGACCTGATGTGTCCTAACCGAATACAAGAACAGTACCGTATTGCTGTTAAGCAAACAGACAACGCATTTTTGAGTATTTGCATGGGTTTCGAGCGAATGAATTCTGCATCAATTAATTTTCTTTCTAGTCGGATCAAAATACGAACGCATCCCAGAAGGATCGACGGATCGATATACTCAATGGGCAAATAACTTAACGGAAGAACAGCTCTGCACACAAGTTAGTTGTAAATGTTATAGAACAAGCAAAGATTCTTCTTTCAAGATCTATTTAGCACATGGGCCTACTCTGATTATGCCAACATGGTTTTGTGCACGATCATGGTTTGATCGCTTGGGTGGTTTTGATGAAATTGCTCGAGTGAACTATTGTTCGATTCATCTTCTTCTGTATTCACAAATCTTCTAGGGCCACTGTGAAGATCTTACCTTCTTTTTCAAGCATCTTCGCCATGGTATGTATTATTCTAAGAACACGATAGAGAGAAATCTTGTTCTTTCATCTATATACTGGTGGACGACTGTATCGAGTGAATGAAGTTCTTCTCTACTATCGATACCACCCAGAAGCAACGACATTTTCCGTTCATGAGTAAGACGAAATAAGAGAATCTGTGCTGGTAGTAGATATTTGAATACAAGGGACGTAATATGGTCAGTGCGTATAAAAGAAATTCAGACAAATGTGATTGATAATCTTCAACGATTGACAATATGGAATGCTGGCAAACAAGTAAAAGTGACTTGTTGACTTTCAATGACAACTTATTTTTCCAATAGGGAAGAAAATTTTATCGCTCATTGAATGATGACAATAAACGCAAGGTCAGTGAACTTTTCGTAAGTGAGTGATTAGCGAACATTTGTCAAAGGTGATTGGCTTTTGTGATATGGATCCGAAGAAGATTACAAAAGGTTTTTATACTGATGAATTATCTGAAGGCAAACATAAACGTCGAATTCCAATCATTCATTTCAGTCAGGCCACTCCACCGATAATTATATGTGTGAAACTGGTTTGTATTCGTGCTTTTTACCTTCACGAATCAATACTAGATTCTTTAGGGTTTAACAAATAATGATTTTGAAGCGAATCTTGCTTCGTTAAATATCCGTGAAGGCGTTGATTATTGGCTTTTCAGTTAATTTTCTTTATCACTTGTTTTTTCTTTGTTCTAATAAAGTGATTCTGCAGGAGAAGAAAGAGGAGAATTAAACAATGACTACTTGTTGGTAAAACAATGCCCATGGATCGTTGGGCACATATAACCTTTGTAAATAAACGACAGACAATCGAACAGATGTTAGTTCAACTAGATTTCGTTCATTTTAGATTAACATGAGCACAACACAACTATTCAGTTTACCCAACGAACTTTTTCCATACATCTTCCAGTACCTATCCTCTTCACAACTAGTCGAACTACTCGCAGATGTTCAATCTCGTCGATTGCAAGCTCTGATCCATTCATTTATAACCAATCTCGACATATCTCAGCAAACTGACCAATGGCTCCAGCACTATCTCCCACGAATCTTCTCAAATTCAAATCTCAACGCACTTCGTCTACAAGACAGACACATTCCATCATTTTACAGCGATTTCTTATCATCAAACATACAATCCATACAGGTCATCAGTTCAGACTGGACAACTGATCTGCTGAAACAGGGATTGAACTACATTCGACAACAACATCATCTCAAACAACTATCAATTGTTTTCACATGTCTTCATGGGAAAGGAGATGTGGCCAATGACTTATTTCGACATGATTCACAATTTCAGCATCTCATCGTCACTGGTCGTTTCCTTTATTTTGACTTGAATGAAATCGAGCAATGTAATCAGCTGAGATCTCTGTCGATTGAACTAGAAGGAATGCATCGAGTGTTTATGTTGATCGAAAATCTGCCCAATTTACAAGAACTTAAGGTAAAGATGATTCTTCTTCTTCTTTTGTTGTTATTTTAACTCGATCTGTAGGTCAAGCTTCGAACAGAAGAACGTCTAGTGCAGCCGAAATTCACTTGCAAAGACAACTCGCACCTCGCCAATAAACTTCAAAGTGTCAGTTTCACAGGTGCAAGCAAGTACTTTGATCATATCGAACAGTTTTTCACTTGTGTTGGAATGGCCATCGAATATCTTTGCATTAGCATCGATCTGATCTACTACATCATCGATGGCAAACGTCTTCAACAGAATGTGTTGATGAAGATGCCTCGCCTATCATCACTTGATCTACTCATTCATTCGGCACTCACTTATTGCGATCCAATCGACATCCAGACATTCCGAAGCTCATACTGGCAGCAGTTCAATAGTATCATCTACTGGCATGATATTCGTGCTCATCAGCATACACTTTTCACTTTGCCATACAAATCTGATCGAGTAAGTCAAGAATTAAGACGTTGAAAGGAATGAAACGCATGTTCTCTCTTTGTAGTTCAAGCATTTTTCAAATAATTTTCTTTCCTCATGGACATCAAACAAGCCAGTTTCACTTAGTTTTGAACAAGTTCGTTCATTGTCATTCGTCACCACAACCGCACTGAACTGCGAAATAATCGAATTCATGGCAAAACACTTTCCAAATCTCAAAACACTTGAATTGAGCGATCCTGTTCATTTGCCAGGATCTGAAGATGAGGATGTCGATCGACAAGCATTAATTATGCAAGAAGATCTTCTTTTCGATCGTACTTTACAGTTGTCATCCATAACAAAACTGTGTTTTGTTTCGCAATTACAACATGATGATTACGATGTTTTTCGTCGCTTTCTTCATCTTTTACCCAATCTAACTCACCTACGAATGTACATTGGTCGTTCATTATTCAATCGATTGATATTACACGAAAATGCAGATGACTTTGTAGGTAATGCATTGGTTCGCATTGAATGTTTGGAAATGGTCCGGTTTTATGATGAGAAGAATGTTCTAAGCAATGAAGAAATTCGCAATCTTTTTCCACATGCAGAAATCCATTTTAACTATGATGGAGTTCGATAAGTAATGCAGCATGTCTATTTCTACATATAATATTAGTTTATAATAAATTACTGATAAAATCTGTGAGCATAATTGCTTCTGATTAAAATATTACTAGCATTAGTCAGTGCTCTCCATCCATTTATATGATAACTGTAGCGAGACGAATGTGATTAAGTTGAAACGTTTGATGGGGTATTCTTGCAACAAAATCTTGCTGCAGTTTGAAGATGGCGCTGACTGGACGAGTGACGTATGTATTATCGAAAAAGGAATTGATATTTCTCTATAACTCGTTATGTTTTTTATCTGATACACTTTTTGCAGCACATCTAACTTTCGGATAAAATCTGAAGGGTCCGCATTTATTTTTATCTTTCTTTGATCGACGATTTTTACATTCATTAAAACAACAGTTTCTTGGGATTATCCACCAACGGCCTTTTGATGTAATTAGCTTATGGCTGGATTCAATCGATCATTTTTTACAGAATAATTTTTTATAACACTCAATCTTCGTATCAATCAAGTTTACTGTCGATGATTTTTCGTAGGTCCAGTGGGCTGAATCACGCGAGGACGGACACTGTCGTTAGAATGAGCCAATTGGATGAGGAAAAACTATTTACTATTACCAATTAAAATAATCTCGCTACGATTTTCATCATCACTGTTAGACTGAGAGGAGACGTCGGTTTTGTAATGTGCACGTGTTCGCGTATGTATAACTCGGTTTATTTCGAAAATCAACAGGTCTATAGAAAAGCGAAGTGTTGATCAGTGAGACGAAACGAACTTTCGCCTGCTGTTCCTTTAGTTCGGTTGTCCAGTAATTTGACGTCGGTCGTTTCTCTTTGGGGTTCTTTTATCAATTTATTTATCTGCATGGAAATATTCCTTCTTCTATTCACCTATCAAGCACACCTCACGAACATAATTGGATTCTTTCATACATTTTCTGGTGGATAACTAAGTATAGAAAATACTAGTTAAAATAAGAACTTTCACTTTCTGTAAATTTTCTCTTCTTGCTTCTTTGATATCAGCGGGTATACTAAATACTGATGATACTTACACTGAGTGCGTTGCTATCCGATGAACATTAGTCATTCATGTTGTTGTCCAGATCAACATAATTCTTGGTCATTGTGTTTATTAGTCTTTCCATGAATCTGAAATACAAAGAACAAAAAAGGGGTGCGTTCATTGCTCACATTTACATCTATTGCAAACCTAAGGTGGTTAACGATAAAGTGTGTATGGGAAAGCATTGACAATCGTCTACAGCTTTCTTCGAAAGTAACTATCTCGACAACGTCTGAGCGGCTTGTGACTTCGTCAGAATTTATTCACCTTTCTTAAAATCTGATTTCTTTGGGAATAGATATTTAACATTGGTATTTCTATAAAGCACATCAGCGTTCATACAAAGCCAACTTTGCTAAAAATGTGCCATACTGAATTTGTTTTCAGTAATATTCGTAGAACTGAAGAAGGTTTTGGCTCTCTGTTATACCTTTATGGTTTCGTATAACCCGGTGTTTTTAGAGAGGACCGAATTTTAAAGTAAAAATACAAATCTGCATTAACTGCTTCTCCACAGAGGATAATATTTTCGGCGAAAATCTTATCGGTTTCTTGAAAAAAAGAAATTTTTTTAATGTCGTTTTTCGTTCTGTTACCTATGTCGAAGAACACGTTTTTTTCTTGCAGTATAAACTCCTATTTACTCAGTTTGAGAACTCGATAAAACACAGCAACATGTTATAAATTTACCAACAAAGACGGTAGAAAACACATGTGCTGCAAACATAACGCGCGGAAGAAACATTCTTTTTTGAAGATTGCGTTCTATTCTCTCGCTGACTCTTATTAAAATGCTAGATTTAATTTTTCCGCACTAATGGGATGTTGTCCAATTGCATCGACTAGAGTTGGTTCAAAGTCAATAAGGAAATCTAATCCAGTCAGACATAGAAATCCAAAACATCACGAAAGAGGTCGGATGGATGACTTAACCGACCAGGAGAGTAAGCGTCGATTATAAACAAAAATTCGTCAGCAATATCCGTCCGCTGATTTAGGGTTGGACTTGGACAATGAATGCTTCCCTGGAAATAAATTTGATGAGAAATTGGCAAAAGTAATACGTTTTAATGGCTAGTTGTTTTTATTCATATTAAACTTTAGGATACACCTTTGGATGAAATCATCAGCAAGTATTCGAAACCACCTAAAATAAAAAGAATGAATGAAATCCATAACAAAAACGATTCATTCATGATTCAAGTAAGATTGATTATAGTGCGGTAAAATTATAATTAGGACTGTAGCCATTCGAATACGATCGAAACGTTCCGGATACTAAACCAAAGCCTGTCAATTACGGAAGTTCATACACTGATCGATGCGATGGCCTGCATCTTGTCATGCCATGTTCACCAGCGTATATGTCTGTTAGTAGGAGTATATTTAGAGTTTAGGTTTTTTAATCGTGCTATCTATTGCCCTCTAAGGTGGATCACAAACTATTGTGGCCTAGCATCTATGGTTGGATAACACATCTGAAAACAAAGTGCGAAAAAGGCGATGCCGATTATGGCGATTTGAAGGTAGTGACCATAAAACCAATCTTTCAGATGACACGAGCAGTTAAATTCTCACTTTAGGCGACGATCGATGCGTGCAGTGGTGTTAAAAGAAACATGGATTCGTTGAATAAATTAGCAACCGAAGTGAGTTTGATCTAATTTAATTTATACTTCAACTTCATTCATATTCTGCAGTTGTATTCAGATGACGATTTTAAACAATTTATGTCTAAAACTCTTTCGAAAATGTGTGAACTTGTATTGGGTCTCGACAAAATCTGGACTGAAGTATACCGGCTTGTAGTATAGTCAGATTGAACTTAATCGGTCTATTTAACATTCTAGCCTCCACCTTTATTGCCAAGAAAAACCAATTGCTCTGTAACGATGTCTCAACGACAAGCGGCTTGTTTATTAGCCTGCTCATTTTTCTGTTTATTCCCACCTCGTAATCATGCGAAAGGATATGAAAATTACCAACATATCAACTTTGATGGGTGTGTATTTATTCATATTTTTCCAATGTTAAACATTTTTCACAATTTGCAGTTTGTTC